ATAATTCATTCATAATACCTTCAAGAACTTACCATAATAATTCTTTTAATAAATCAAATTATTGTCAAATCACCAACATCACGCCTTTGGCGAGTTGCCTTATCACCTAAATTATATCCTTTTGTATATAAATTATTAAATGTACAATTCACCCCGGTACACTAATAAAAATTTGGTTTGTTTTACCATATAAGCGTGAAATAACACGCAGGGACATTATTTTGAATAATGGCCTGAATTAAGCTTAATTTAGGCCAAAATTCGAAACCACACCCCTGCGCGTTATTTCGTGCTTATACAGTAAATGCAAAATTACAAAATGCGTTTATAGCGCAGTGAAATAAGGATGGCGCAAAAATTTGGTGGTCACGTGACTAATTCTATAACAATGATATCCTCCTAATTTTCATCTAAAAATTAATATTAGAATTCAAAGTAAAAAGAATATATCTAAACTTTTGTGCTGAAAACTTTTACATAATAGCAAAGACCAGTTTTCCCTTGCGGATTTGTGAGTTTTTTGTGATTTCTAATTTTTTTTTCGGCTCTTTTTTTACTTCGCATTTGTATGTTACACATAAATAAAAATCACGGGATGCCAAATTTTTGCGTCATCACTATTTCACTCTTTATAACGTAAAGATGCAATATAATAGGATGCAAAGTAGTGATGTCAATTTGCTTAAGCAGTTTAGTTTGTACTGGAGTATATCTGCTTTGATACTTATTGACAAAGTAGTAATCGAGCCATCAATCTATTTCTTTTTTCTGATATCCAAAATCTTGGTCATGTGCACTGGATTGCTCGATTCCTTGAAGCACTTAAACTTGCAATGAATCATTTTAAAGGTTTTATCAAAATTTAGTATTAGATAACTTCCAAATAGCCAGCGTTATTTTCCCTATATTAAGACATATCAAATTCAAAAAGATGTATCAATCAACTTATTTCCACTCACTGATCGATGATTTCCAGAGACCTCTTTGGAAAGCTAAGACAAATAACAGCCAACAAATTGGCATAAATTCGTCTGAAAATATAATGTGATGATAACATATGATTTGCAGAAGGACTTACTCCAGAACTGTTATACTGTGACGATGTTCAATATGGGTTCAAGATAATTGTTATTAATTATATTAATAGGATCCCTCTGACAAAACAAGATCCTAGAGGTGAGATCTACCAACCAGGCTGCCGGAGTCGCACCGGAGGAAAAGGACTTGTGCTTTGGAAGT